TTAGTGTACCGCAAACCAGCACACACTGATCGATATCTGGCTTTCAATTCCCACCATTCATTTCACCAAAAGCTTGGAGTCGTACGTTTAATCATCGACAGATGCAACAACATCGTCATAGAGCATAACGATCGACACAGGGAAGAACAGCACATAAAAGAAGCACTCAACCGTTGTGGCTACCCCGAATGGTCAATCAACAAGGTAAAAAGCGCTGTACAAGAAAGACAGAAAATAGAAAACCGATACAGAAGAAAAGTTATGAGAGTCAAACCAAAAGCAAAGGCTGTGTCACTATACCCTACGTGAAGGGTGCATCAGAGGCGTTTGCACGGGTGATGAGGAAACACCATTTCAGCACCCCGATGAGACCACTGACAGCCCTCAGACGGTTACGGGTGCACCCCAAAGACAGGTCTGACATTTTAGACAAAACAGGGGTTATATATCAAATTCCATGAAAAAAATTGTCAGCAGTCATATATAGATGAAACTGGGAGGAAATTTGGTACACGTCTGAAGGAACGTCAAAAGGACGTAGAGAAAATGAGCAACATCACATTCACCAGATCCACACGCAAAACATCCGTCACCCAGTACAATAAATCGGCATTAACATATCACGCTAACACCAAATATCACATCGTCGTTTGGGACGATGCCAAGACAGTGAAAACGGGAACAACACACGAAAACGAGACAAAATAAAAAAAAACATCAAAATCAGGAAAACACAGAACATGAACAGAGACGATGGAGGACACCTACTGAGTCATCTGTATGACCCGATACTGACATAACAGGGGACGTGGCTAGATATACACCCTACATGTAACCTATCTGGTGCAGTGTGTATACGCTCCCTATCGATAGGCGAAACGCCTCGGGTCGAATGACATGAATAATATACAATTTCGTCACGTCGTTGTAAAGGTAAAAAAACACAAATCACTCACTCAGTCATAGCTTGGCAAAGGAACAAGTCGGTCTTGAAACATTTAATACGTTTGATACGTACATTGTTTGTGTAGAAAGTAACACTTTGATATCAATTGACTTGATGCTTAAGAGTTTTTGTCCTGCAGCTGTCTGGCTACTTGGGGGCACGGTCTTGACCTTCCCTGGACAGTTGCTAATCCAATGCCATGGGCCGCTGCGGAAGAAACAGATTAGAACTCCGCGATCTCCAAAACTGTTCTGACATCTTCATTTGTACAAGTTCACTTAAACAAAAAAATCCAGAAAAAGCAACTACACATATAGAACAGACTCTTGTAATATTCTCCACATCAACTACATAGTTTCTCATAGTATTTTTACCAACTTTCTAACTCTATGTACAAGACATGATCACATAACGTATAGCATATCAATATGCCCCATCTACAAGAATGATTTGATCCCAAACTACTTCTTTATTATCTAAATAAATGGTTGATACATTGATACAAAAATCATCGTCCATCTGAAATATATCTGTCATAAATTACATTTATCTTAGACATAAGATATTACATATACAGTTGGGAGCAAACTTGTCTTAATATCATTATAATTGTCTGGTTTCAGTAGTTAGTACATATAGTCAATTTCTCCCTGCGTCTCCACTTTAAAATTATGTCAGAAGTATTATATGGTATACTCTCATACTTTAAATTATCAAAGCAGTTATCCTCAAAACCAAACGTTAACGGTAATTATTCAATTATCCATGCTTTAATAAAATGTTCATGCTTAAATGAAAGTTATATTTCAAGTATATATGCGTAATGAGAATTAACCCTTCCTTGATATCACTTCCACTTATGTAATAAGTACACATTTTTATGATATTGCATATAGTTATGCTATTTTTATCAGTACAATATAATTCCCTATATTGTCAAATAACAAACATGTGTAACAGATTCCCATTTAGGATTTCCAACATGGGACTTGATAATAGTACCTGTAAGGAAAATAAATTGCAAAGAAACTAAAATCTCATCTTTTGTAGAACTGGTAAATATGCTTCCATGGTGAACGCAAAGTTTCATATAAGATATTGTTCAATATATAGTTCAGTATAAAATACAAATGACAAGAGTTTCTTAGTACCTCCCTAACCTTTTCACCTCTATAGAGGTTCATCAGAGGAACAGTTTGGCTGTTTGGTGTTAAAGCTTAAACATGAAAGGGACACCGATGATGAAAAATAACGCGGAAGTTAAAAAAAAACGAGTCAATAATTCGGTGCAATGTATCTGTATATCATTCTGCATACACAGTACTATATACATGTGCAAGTCTATACAACAGTGCATTCGCATGTGACGGTATATGTTTATTCAAGCCTATCCTACCCGGATGCTATTGGGATACCTTACAGTGTAAACCAGAATAAGCCAGTCAGTTATGTACACAAGTAAACAGAGTCCTAACAAGTGACACTAAGATCGCGTCGTCACGAGTGTTGTTCAGCTTTTGAGGGGTATACAAACCTGGTATCTTAGGTAAGGTACATGTATGTAGTCATCAGCTTGCGATACTGTTTGTTTTGTTAATATATATATATATGATTATAACAGTTCTGTTATCAGTAGTATTTGACAGCAATATTGTGAATGTCTGACTGTGATATTTCCCCTGTAACCTATACCGTCAAACACCGTGTATTAATCAATCAATGGTATATGGAAACTTCGTTTTAGTTGTATTATTATTTATTGAAATTTCAATTCTTCGTGTATTCAAGGAATTGTTTAATCATAGTCGTATATACTTCATACGTTTGGTTTGGTTTAGTATAGTTAACCTCCTATCAGCAGCTATGGTCATTAAAGGACAGCCTCCTCTGTGTGCAAGATGCATGCGTGTAGTGTATGCGTGTTTGTTTTGGGAGGCTACGATATGTTCGTGTTTGTCTCCTTGTGGTAGCGCGGAACTGATGCCGACTTTATAATGCTACCACACTGAAACATACTGCCGAAGCCTACCAACAGGACAATCCACCCGGTCACATTATACTGACAACTGGCGAGCCAGTCGTCCCACACCTACATTGCTGAGCATTAAGCAGGAATAGAAACTACCATTTGTACAGACTCTGTCTTGGCCAGGGGACATAACCCAAAGCCTTCCTCACAGGGGCGAACGCTCAACTAAAGACCAAAAGTGAGGCATTGGCAAGGGAGACATTGGGAAGAAGAAAGTTGTTACGAAAGAAGAGAAAAGATAAGATCCCAAATGTAGTCCCCTCTTACAATCATGCAATGGGGGCAGCAGGAACAATTTTTACCTATTACCTGCAGGGACCATACTTCATACATATTTTAACTTGATACTATTATGGTTAATGATTTACTTTGCCTCTTATACTTGATGGATATAATAAGTTGTGCTTCCTGCCTTACAATCACATATGACATGCTTTTGTTTATTACAAACATGGATCGTCACAGTTGCAGCAAACAGGGACATACACATAAGTAGCGTTGTAAGGGGCTATACTAACAATAACGCAGCATATGCAGACTACTAGGATTTGCAGTAATAAGGTTGACTGCAGTGTGTATAAATGTAAATTTAAAAACAACAACACATTAAGTAGCAAGAGGTGTAGTAGCAAAACATAAACCCCTTATTATTTTAGTAAAATGTAAAAGATAACAATAGTATACACAGGAGTGTATTAATGAGAGGTTAGTATATGACTTTTTTGATATCACACTCTTTATCAGCTTGATATTAGTTCAAGAGCTGATAAAGGGTGTGATATCAAAATAGTAATATCATAACCTTTTTATCACACATTTTGAAACAACATATTGTTGTTGTTGTTGTTGTTGCTATCGTCTGCGCCGTAAACCGAAGCATCTAAACGTCAAACTAAAATCTGGAGTGAAGAACCCGGATGAAGTGATATCAGCCCGGGCTGATAACTGGTTATCGACCCGGGCTGATAAATGTTTTCCGCCCTTGTTGGTGTAAAAACTTTTTATAAGCCCGGGCACTGATATACCAACACAAACAACACTTGCCATATATGGGCAAAATGTATATTGTCAAAAACAAAAATGTGATAAACAAAGCCATAACACACAATATATATCCTGTACCCATGTAACCAATGCTAAACTAGAATTAACAAAAAAAAAAAAAATTATGACTAGGGTATGGTAAACAATAAAACACTAACTATGTTTACATATATTTGTTATAAACAATGAAACAACACATGTACAATGAGAGTGAAAATGAAAAATGCATTGACATATCTGAGTTAGACATACACACATACCATGTAAACATGTAAGTTTAAACTTACTTCGTGTGCTGTCGAATCAATGAACATACACTTACGTGGCTATTGTAATGTCAGGACAGCGTTAGACTATTTGGAATCAAGTACCCATGTTTTACATTTAAACTTAATCCAAAACTATCACGGAAGTTTCTGTTTGCATCTGCATGTAATAAATAATTAACATAGGACGCCAGCAGTAATTAACCGGTAATCACAGATGCATTTAAGAATGTCCAGTTGCTTACACTATACTGACAATCAAGTCAAATGATAATAAGCCTTGATGTTGCATTTTTTTCAAAAAGGTAAATATAGAAATATCATATCGTTTCACTCACTTTCACTTTGTAGTGAGAATGAAATAAAATAAAGTAGTTTGGAGTCCCGAAGGATAATTTTCTGGAAAACAAAACAGTAACAGGAGAACGCTGGGACAGTTATGAATACTTTCTTCATCATGTAATTCAATTGTTAAATTTTAGTCCCCCACTTAACCCCCTCATATCTTGGAATGGTCCCAAGCTGACCTTAATTTCATGTCATATCATGATGGCATAACCCCAAGGTATGTATATACAAAAAATAAAACTTATCAGTGATAGCCACCAGAAGGTCAAAATTGGCACCCCTCCTTTTGCTATGAAAGGGTCTTCAATGGTTCTGGTCACGTTTTCTCAAATTATGATTCTGCTCTTTCTTCTTATTCTGATTCCAGATTGCAGATAGGACATAATTGTTTTAGCAATGACATCGTCTCCACAAAAAGGTATATACGTCCGCCTCAAGACCAAAATGAACACTGCATATTACACCGACACCAAATATCTCGAGAGCTTCAGAACCATGGCTTCAGCCCATCTATCTGGTCCAGGGGAATATAAAAGTCTTCCGTTTCTGGATATATGTGAGAATTTGGAAGGAAACGGACATATTGGCTGGAATAAGCTCGGGAATCTAAAAGAACTTGTACAAAGTACGACTGGAGGACAAGAGCAACTTCTTTGTATGATTAACGATGCTGAAAAAGAAATACAGGAGAGTTTGTCAGGTAATTATGTTTTATATTTCATTCCCATTATAACGAGTTTAGAAATGGTAACACAATACTAACATGTACAGGGAAATATACCAATAGGTTGTAGGATGAGTTTTAAATTGAAAATTGAGAAGCGATCAATGACATTCCATAGTAGTTCCAAAACAGACCTGTCATATGCTGGTTTTCATTTCTGTATGTGTGTTTGTATACGCCCGTCAAACAATTAGGAATCTGCCAGTAAGTAATGAACAATAGAAATATCATTGGTTTTGATAGTGTAAGATGAATCGGTTATTGGCAAAACGGAGTAATTTCAATTTTCATTTTCTTGGTTTGAAAACTATATAAAGGAAGACAGTCTATGAAAATCAATAGTTTAAAGGATACATGATCCTTTAGCATAAGTTGGTCATTGTACAATATGTATTCACAAAGTTTTATTTGTAACATAATTACAGTGGTGTTTTTTTCTTTGACCACATTCCAGACATAGTTCTTAACTTCAATCAGTACACATATAGTACAATAATGCTTCAAAAAAGATTTTAAGTTTGTCAGAGGTTTTTGTTTCGCCTCACAGTTTTGTTTAAACGTGTAATGCTAATTGTGGTGAACATTATAATTTTTGGAGATTTCTTTTGAAAATGGAAGTTTGTTTAATGATTTAAAACAAAAAAAAAGTATTTTAAATCCAGAAATGTACTTTTTCCTTATTTGCTTCTCACAAATATATGTTGTAATAACAGATAATGATTCAGTGTTTCAGGGTTTATCCTGAAAGAAACACATTACTCACCATGAGCACTTTATAAAATCGAGAGGGCAACCGCAGGTGTAGGTGACCACTCGTTTTAATCACGTGCGAGCGTTCTGTAATTTGTTTTTCTCAACAAACCCTGAAGACCACTTTATGATCAACATTTTTTTCCTTTATATACTACTGCTACATGTATGTATATTTCACCAATGATAATGTTAAACTGCCGTTCCGGTTCAATACCTCGCCTGGCGCTAGCAGATACAAAATCCGTTCTAAAGTCCTTCTCATGGTCTCCTATGTATTACCATGCTGAAACAAACTTGTATTTGATTTACCATTATAGGTACAAGATGTAGGTGGTTTCAGTTAGTATACTGATGATCATATACAATCTAATTAACACCTAAATGAGATTGTTTTCAATCTTATTTTTATCATAATCCGTCATTTTTAAGCGTTATGCATAATGTCATTCATAAAAACAATTAAACGGACAAGTCTTGCTGCTTCAGGAAACAGTATAACTCTTGGTCTGACCACCTGAGAGGTATAGCTTTGTTTGCTAACTGTTAAGACATGAAACAAGTTTATACATAACACCGTGTCCAATTTTTAAAAGAAATGTTAAAAAAAACCACATTATTTTCCAAAGCAGGTTTAGCTAGTCCTTTGCCACCGGAGAGGGATGCACCGAAACGGAGGATGAAAGGTATGTGTACCAAATATACACTTATGTATCCGGCCCATAGTGGTGCTGGATCCGTAAGTTTGGCATCTGTCAGCGTTTTCTTTTAACTAAATTGTTTTCTGATAAACTATAATTCATGTCTCATAAGCAAAATAATTTAGATATTCAAAACTAAACCAGCTGTATGATGATGGTGTTTTTACTGTGGTTTTATTCTTGCCTAAATATCGTTCTCACAGGTTTGTATTAACTCTCTCTCTCTCTTAGCTTTTGTAAAAAAAAAATCGTTATCCCCGAGACAAATGTTTCCACTTGATATACCTGGGTCACTCAGTCTCACCTTTCGTCCGTCGTCGTGCTTCGTGCGTCGATCGTAAAAGAATATACTATCGATTTCTTCTCAGAAACAGCAAGATACACTTGTTAGAGGTCAAGGCGTGCAAAAGCCTTGTAAAGGCTTCTCTGACAACAACTGGTGAATTTGCAACAGTATTTTATAAAAAGAGCATCTGCTGATGAACTGATGATCTAGGGCCATAAAAGGGCCGCAAACAGATATCCAAGTTTGTCATTGTCTGTAATGTCACTTGTGATATAAGGGAGACATCTCTTATGGGTTAGGAAAATAATTAGCAATTTTAACATTTTAAAAAATCAACGGTATCAAATATTTTGGTTTATAATACATATATTATAAAACGATTTTGTAACGAATTGTCACATGGGTGTTTGGTAATACGTCTGAAGATGGTTGACATCCCCACCCCATAATAATGTATATACCTATTGGCATGATTGAAAACAACCATGCTACCAGGAATTTACCTGGTGCAAGGCATTTTCTTTCCATTCTTCTTCTTCTTCAATGTACACCCTTTATGTCCTGTTTCCATGTCAACTATTATTCTTTGCATCAAAATCTCTGCAACTGATGTATTAATATAATCGGAAGTTCTTTTATTTTACTAAGGCTTTTGAAGATGTTTACATCAAATTGCTAGAGTGTTGTAACACTGAACTGTCCTTAACTCAGTTGACCATTAGGGCTCTTTTGACCTCTTGTTTTCTAACAATTATTCTACAACAATATGGAACAAGTTTTTAAGCTTTTAAGAATTACAAAGTACATGCAGACAAATCCACGTGGTCAGGCAGGTGACTATCATGATATGTTTGACTAATTCTCAATTTTACTAGAAAGTTCTTAAAGTGGAAAACACATGCTTTTTCCTCGATGTTCACTTGTGTCTTTTAATCAATGAAATAAGAAAAATATAATCAATCGTTATGGCTTCCATTTTCAAAAACGTATTTAATTCAGGTCTATTTCAGATTTCACAGTTCCAATGAAAAACAATAGTTAACGGGTCATGAAGGATATGTATTCCTTCAGCATAAGCTTGACATTGTACAATATATATTTACAAAGTTTCAAGAACATAAGTACAATATATTTTCTCCTTTAACCACATTCCAAAAATAGTTATCAACTTCAATGAGTACAAATATAATGTTTCTCCTTACATTTTCATATTTTCATACATTTAGATACAGTAATGCATCAAAAAGATTTTAAATAGGTTAGTCTTTTGTTCCGCCTTACAATTTTGTTTAAACGTGTAATGCTAATATTGGTGTAGGTGACAAGTCCTGATTCATTTTTAGAGCTTTTGTTTTAATGGAAGTTAATTTAATGGTTTGAAAAATATCTTAAATTCAGAAATGTACTTTTTTTGTTATTTGCTTCTAAGGATATTTTTTTTTTATCTTTCATGATATATGAAATTATTGTATTTGATATAATAACAGAAAATCATTCAGTGTTTCAGGGTTTATCCTGAAAGAAACAAATTACTCACTACTAGCACGTTGGTAAAATCGAGAGGGCAACCACATGTGTAGGTGACCACTCGTTTTAATCTTTTGCGAGCTTTTTGCTATTTGTTTTTCTCAACAAACCCGTACGAAGACTGTATGCTCAACATTTGTTTCCTCTATTACCTACTGCTATGTATATTAAATCAACAATAATCATAAAATGTCGTTCCGGTTCATTACATCGCCTGGCGCGAGCACATACATTTCTAAATGGGCAAATCCGTTCTTAAGTCCTCCCCATGGTCTCTAATGCGTTATCATGTTGAAACAAACTAGTATTTGATTTACCATTATAGGTAGGTGGTTTCAAGTATTATACTGATGATCATATACAATCTAACTAACACCTAAGTGAGATAGTTTTCAAACTTATATCTATCATAATCCGTCGGTTTTAAGCATTAAAATAATGTCGTTCATAAACACAGTTAAACGGACGAGTCCTTCTGTGGTTGGTCTTATCACATCAGAGAAAAAGCGTTGTTAGCTGATTGTAAATACACGAAGCAAGTATATACTGTTTATACATAACACTGTGTTCAATTTTTAAAAGAAATGTTTAAAAAGAAAACATTATTTTCCAAAACAGGTTTAGCGAGCCGTTTGCCATCGGAAAGGGATGCAAAGAAGTCGAGGCTGAAAGACATGTATACCAAATATTAACTTATGCAACTTATGAAACATTTTAAATTCAGGTCCACTTTAGATTATAACGGACATTGGTAATTTACACAGATTTACTCTTTACTTTAACAGATGAGGAAATGGTAGTGCAAATGGATAAAGATGTATTTAGAGTGAAAGAAAAGGATGCAGCTTTCTTGGAATGTAGTGTAGATCCTGAACCGATAAGAGTCGTATGGAAAAAGGGGGAAAAAAACCGAGTAGACGAGAGAATCATAATAAACAATAAGAAATACTTTGGTGCAGGTCCATCTTCACCAGCGCTTGTGATAAAGGAAGCTGAAAAAGCAGACCAGGGCTTCTACCAATGTATTGCCAAAGCTATTGAAATAGAAGTCAAAGGCAAAGCTGTTCCATTAGAAGTGGGTAAGTTTATATACTAAAGATATACACATTTTTGTTATAACTTTATGAAATATGTAAAATACTCGCAACAGATGGCTAAACGGTGAAGATGATGGGACCGGAGCAGTGGCCTATTACAATAAACCTCAAAGAATTAAGACAATGTCTTGCATTTTGTGGATCCTACCATATATTTGTTCAAAAGTTCTCTCTTGGATTGCAAATTGTCTACATGTTCAAACTAAGAAATACACAACGTTAGAATGGACTAGAGGCTGCCCGGGTGAAATAACTCAATACGTATAGTTCACTATACTAGCGTCAACATAACTATAAAAATAACGGGAAAATATCATTACATTTCATGTATGATTACATTAAAAGTTAACATAATGATATATTTATATGTTGTTTTTTGTTGTATTATTGTGCCTTTTGGGGTCTTTTGGGGTCTTTTTGGTGTTTTTGTGTCTCTTTGGTCTTTTCTGGTGATTTGGTGAACTCCAGTACACAAACATGTAAACTCTAGTGCACACGCTTGTTAACTGAAGTCCACATGCTTGTGCACTAGGAAGCACTGTGGTTAAGTACAATGCACAATCAGTTCGTTAATATTGCTGCAGGTTTGGTTTAACACACTGTCAGAGTTATTCCTTGTTGTTGTATTTGCTGAATCATGAAAGAACCCATTTATTTTTAGGGATTATTGAAATCAATTACTCGGTCTTTTAAACTAAGGTAAACACTGTTGTGCACTGGAATTCACATCGTAGTGCACTTGAGATAACAATGAAGTAAACTGGAGTGCGTTACAATGTTTGTCTTGTGTACTACCATGTTTACGCCGTATGCACTTTAAAATGCACTAGACACCAAGTTAAGTTTGCTCCCAAATGTATATCTGTATATATTTGTATTGAGTAGCGCAAGTGACGTCTACTTATAGTAAATACAATAGCGGTCTTCAGTAGTGACTGATACAAACCCTGCAGACGCCGCATGCTTTCTTTTGATGCAAATAAACTTAAGGTAAGTACTGAACTCTACTGTACCCAAATGATGTTTTCATGAAAGAAAGTAAGGATATCTTGTTGTATATATTCTCGCTTCTTGCAAACCCTGAAAAATAAATAGGTTCATTATCCTTATCGTAGATTCGGATGAGGAGAGAGGGAGCAATAAACACGGAACACATCGATCCCAATCTGCATCATCTTCAGGAACAGAAGGGTCGCACATTGATAGAAACAGCAAATCGAGCTCTCGTTCACAGGACAACCACATGGAATTTCGCAGGTACGAACAGATATGTTATGATTATTTATGTGACGGGCATGCTGTACTTCGATTTCCACATTTTAGAAAAACAACATATTTAACAAACTTCGACGGTTGCAACATAACCGAAATCAAAAAACATTAAAGTACCAAAAATAATCATGAGTATCATACTATTTGATTCGTTTGTCAAGATAAATATGTATGTATTGTATTAATATGAATAAGGTGTGTGGGTGCGCGTTCAAAACCTTATATATAATATGTGTGTGCGCGTCCAGAGCTTATATATCTGTATGTTATATACGGTAATATGTAGCGACCGTATCGCATTAGTGGCGTGCTACCTTCGGAAAGGGAGTCAGGAACAACCTCCCGTTACAGAACATTCGAGTGTGGCACATTGCACCTCTGTAATTTTAATTCAGCTTTTTTAGTTTCGTATTTTTTGTTCCGAATGGAAAAAACAAGAGTTGCCGAAGGTGTTATGGTACTTTACATGAAGGATGATTACTTGCTCCGATTTCCTGCTGCAGTTCATTTATTACGCTTTTATTGAAGAAAATGCGGAGTCAAACAGGTAAAAGTGGTTATAATTTTATATGTTGAAGTGAAAGCATTTGGTAATTGAGGGTATTCTCTTATTTTATTGCATTTATTTGAAAACGAAAGCAGAACATTTTACTTGTTTATTATCAAAGATAAGTATTACCACTTGTATGTATTATTACAGACAGATATTTCACTTGTATTTATTATCACAGACAGGTAAAACTCTTTTATTTAGTATCACAGACAGGTATTACACTTGTATTAAGTATCACAGACAGATATTTCACTGGTATTTATTATCACAGACAGGTATTACATTTGTTTTTACTATCACGGACTGTTAGACAGATATTACACTGGTATTTAGTATCACACACAGGTATTACACATGCATTTACTATCACGAGACAGTATTTTACATGTATTCAGTATCACAGACAGATATTACACTGGTATTTATTATCACAGACAGGTATACCACTTCATTGTGTGGCATCGTTAGGTAAGATAAATAACTGTTATATATTGATTGCAACTTTAGAACAATACAAAATATCAACACATATATTTCAAGCTGAAACTTTTGAAAAAAAAATAATTCTAAAAGCTATAAGAAGGTATGCATTAATTCTGCACCAATTTTCTTATTTTTTTCGGGGGTTTCAATGTTCTTACTTACTCATACATGTATGCCAACAGGAAAGTTCATGGCAAAATGAACCACAGACTCTTAAAAAGATATATATGTAGTAGGACAAGGAATAGTGATAAAGTTAGTGCTGTCACTGGTGCTCAGACCCGCGACCTTTGGCTCTCCAGCCCAATGCTCTTCCGCTGAAAGGACATTCTCTACAGCTGACACATGTAAGGCAACCTAATCAATGCCAAAGGTTTACAGATATAAGACTCTACGTATTGAGTCCAAGGTCAGAATAATGTAAATATATTACTCTGTATTACTCTTGAAGTGTATATAATGTGTATACCAATCCTAATTATATACGCTGTTTAGTGTATATACATACAGTATATACCTCTCATAATAAACTCTGCAGACAACTACTCTATACATACTTGAATATGTGTTCTATATATATATATAATATACTCTGTATATCAAATTTTTACATAAATAACAATAGGCCTGAATAGTTCATCTGAATTTTTGAATTTCAATTTAAAACCTGTGAAATATCATACTCTTGAAATCAAGCGCATGGGTTCTTCAAAAAGAGTCGTTTAAAGTTTTTCATCCAAGGGAGCTTAAAAAGCCAAATATCATAACTCTGGGCATGTCATATCTTCAGAATAAGACTGAAACATTTTATATATTCGACCTCTGTTACTTTGAAAGTAGGTCAAGGTCTTTTTTATTCGCATATTTACTCTTTAGTAAGGCTCCAACCCAGGAAGTTAAAAGCCAAATATCATGGTTTTAGGACTTTCATTTCTTCAGAAGTTATTTGAATTTGTTTACTTATTTAACCTGTCACATTGAAAGCAAGTCAAGCTCACTCTTGTATTTCAACCAAATGTACTTTGAAGTATGCATCCTTAGATCTGGAAGTTTAAGATGATATACAAGAGGCCGAGAGGGCCTGTATCACTCATCTTTGTATGTAGCGAAATATCCTCATTAAAAGAAATATTGAAGTTAAGACACTAGGCATAAACTCACATTGTACCTTCAGACTAGGTAAATTTTATAATGAAAGGTGTAGCCCAAACTTGCTGCTGAGAAGCAGAGCAAAAAATCATAGCTTTAATAGAATTATTGATGAAAGGATTTTGCAACAATAGCATTTAAAAAATGAAAGGTAGTGATACATACCTTCTGAATGACTTGTTTTACATTGACAGTATATATTTTATATCCTATATCTCTTGACCAAGGAAGTAATACTGCTATGACTAACATATTAAGTTGCATGAGGTGTGTAAAGAAATAAGAGAGCAGGTCTAATAGTGTGTCAGCATGAACTGTACATGTGTTAACATTTCTGTGATTGTATAAACATAAGTAATACCTACTAATGTCCATGTGTAATACCTATCTGTGATACTGATCAAATGTCCATGTGTAATACGTACCTGTCTGTGATAGTATGTACATGTGTAATACCTGTCTGTGGTAGTATGTACACGTGTACATGCCTATCTGTGATAGTGTGTACATGTGTAATACCTGTCTGTGATAGTATGTACACGTGAAATACGTATCTGTGATACTAATTTTCATGTGTAATACATGTCTGTGATAGTGTGTACATGTGTTATACCTGTCTGTGATAGTGTGTACATGTGTTATACCTGTCTGTGATAGTGAGTAAATGTGCAATATCTATCTGTGATACTAATTTTTATGTGTAATACATGACTGTGATAGTTTGTTCATGTGTAATACATGTCTGTGAAAGTATGTACATGCGTAATACCTGTCTGTGATAGTGTGTACATGTGTAATATCTGCCTGTGATAGTGTGTAAATGTGTAATACCTGTCTGTGATAGTGTGTACATGTGTAATACCTGTCTGTGATAGTGTGTACATGTGTAATACCTACCTGTGATAGTGTGTAAATGTGTAATACATATCTGTGATAGTGTGTAAATGTGTAATACATGTCTGTGATAGTGGCACATGTGTAATACATGTCTGTGATAGTTCGTAAATGTGTAATACATGTCTGTGAAAGTATTTACACACGTAATACCTGTCTGTGATAGTGTGTACATATGAAATACCTAACTGTGCTATCATGTACATGTGTAATATATATATATGTGATACTAATGTCCATGTATACTACCTGTCTGTGATAGTGTGTACCTGTGTTATACCTATCTGTGATAGTGTGTACATGTGTAATAACTATCTGTGATAGTATGTACATGTGTAATACATATATGTGATACTAATTTTTATGTGTAATACATGCCTGTGATAGTGTGTAAATGTGTAATACCTGTCTGTGAAAGTGTGTACATGTGTAATACCTATATGTGATAGTATGTGCATGTGTAATGCCCGTCTGTGATAGTATGTACATATGTTATACCTGTCTGTGAGATTGTGTAAATGTGTAGTACATGTCTGTGAAGGTATGTACATGCGTAATACCTGTCTGTGATAGTTAGTAAATGTGTATTATCTGTCTGTGATAGTGTGTACATGTGTAATACCTGTCTGTGAAAGTGTGTACAGGTGTAATACCTATATGTGATAGTATGTGCATGTGTAATGCCCGTCTGTGATAGTATGTGCATGTGTAATGCCCGTCTGTGATAGTATGTGCATGTGTAATGCCTGTCTGTGATAATGTGTACATATGAAATACCTAACTGTGATATTATGCATATGTGTACTGCCTGTCTGTGATAGTATGTACATGTGTAATACCTGTCTGTGAAAGTGTGTACATGTGTAATACCTGTCTGTGGTAGTGTGTACATGTTTAATACCTGTCTGTGATAGTGTGTACCTGTGTTATACCTATCTGTGATAGTATGTACATTGTAATACCTATCTGTGATTATATTTTTTATGTGTAATACATGCCTGTGATAGTGTGTAAATGTGTAATTCCTGTCTGTGAAAGTGTGTACATGTGTAATACCTACCAGTGATAGTTTGTAAATGTGTAATACCTGCCTGTGATAGGGTGTAAATGTGTAATACCTGCCTGTGTTAGTGTGTAAATGTTTAATACCTGTCTGTGATAGTTTGTACATGTGTAATACCTACCAGTGATAGTTTGTAAATGTGTAATACCTGCCTGTGATAGGGTGTAAATGTGTAATACCTGCCTGTTATAGTGTGTAAATGTGTAATTCCTGTCTGTGAAAGTGTGTACAGGTGTAATACCTATATGTGATAGTATGTACATGTGTGATACCTATCTGTGATACTAATTTTTATGTGTAATACGTGTCTGTGATAGTGTGTACCTGTGGTATACCTAACTGTGATAGTGTGTACATGTGTAATAACTATCTGTGATAGTATGTGCATTTGTAATGCCTGTCTGTGATAGTATTTACATATATTATACCTATATGTGATAGTATGTGCATGTGTAATGCCTGTCTGTGATAGTGTGTACATATGAAATACCTAACTGTGATATTATGCATATGTGTACTACCTGTCTGTGATAGTATGTACATGTGTAATATATATCTGTGATATTAATGTGCATGTATAATACCTGTCTGTGATAATATGTACATGTGTAACACCTGTTTGTGATAGTGTGTACCTGTGGTATACCTAACTGTGATAGTGTGTACATGTGTAATACCTATCTGTGATAGTATGTACATTGTAATACCTATCTGTGATACTAATTTTATGTGTAATACATATCTGTGATAGTGTGTAAATGTGTAATACATGTATGTGAAAGTATGTACATGCGTAATACCTGTCTGTGATAGTGTATACATGTGTAATACCTGCCTATGATG